ATGGATAAAGAAACTATGGTATGTATAAACAATGGAATACTACTTAGCTTTAAAAAAGAAGTAAACCCTGCCATTTGCTACAACCTGGATGAACCTGGAGGATTCTCACTTGCTGTCCTTTTAAAGCCATCAGAATCACACCTAATACTCCATGAGCAGATCAATCCATTCAACAGGGCATAGTCCTCACAATCCAATCATCTCCTGAAAGACCCACCTTTCAATGACAATAATTGGATTTCCCACCCTCTTAACACTGTTACAATGGAGATCAAATTTCCGACACATGAACTTTGGAGGGGGTTGGGGGGAGGGGGACATATTTGACCCATAGCAACTTGTAAGCTAGAGAATGTCTGAATTGAAATATACGTTAACATTCAATCAGTCCCCAAGTTTCCACAGCTCTACTTTGATCACTTTCCCAATGGTTCCACTTCCCACCGAACATTGAGCACTTTTTAAACACACAACGGTGGGCACTTACTCTCCACTGTGGTTCAGGTTATCATAGCGTAGAAAGAGACCTGCGTAGACGGTCTCGGTCAGCAGGGCGTAGATGGCAATCATAATGAGCAGCACTGCCAGCTTCAGGACAGAGTTAAGTCGGAGGAAAACAGCACAGGTTACCATCGCCAGCACCCCGGTGAAGACGAAGTACTGGAAACAGAGAATGCAGGTGGTGAGATTCAACAGGAACGTGAGAGATTCCCTCTCCTAGGCATGGATGTTGGTAGGTCTTCTTATACAGATGTTTGCTGAGCATTTCCATTGGGAGGTCTCAGTGCCTCCTGAAACTCAACGGGTCCCAAATTAAACTCTTCATTTTCCTACCCCCAAACCTAGTCTATTTTTGTGATGGCATCACCATTCCCATCAGTCGCCAAGCCAGAAACCCTGGTCTCATCTTTGTCGCCTTTCTCTTCCCCACCCTAAGTCTGTAGATTCCACTTCCTTCATAGAGCTCACACCCAGCCAGCTTTCTGCTTCCACCTGCCTAGGGTCTTAGTTCTCACTGACACCTCTGAGAAAGTTTTCTGGAAGCTCTGCCTGCTGTTAGGTCCCAATCTCCACCTGGCACACACTATCATTCTCTATCCGGTATTTCTAAGATGCAGATCCGATATGTCACTCCTTAGCTTGAAGTCCTTCCACTGTTCAAGTGATGTTCTCCCTTCAGACTAGCAGAACTCGCAAGGCCATCATAT